GTCCTATCATCGGTAATGGTCACCTCAGTGGTAGTAACTTCATGAAGGGCTTCACTGTTTCCATTCTCAAAACCGAGTAGAGGTGTCTTTTGTTCCATTGTTCACTTCATTCCAACTGAAATGTCCTGGACCGTGATAACGCCAAAGCCTGTTGGCATGCACCACCTTTGGCTTACCTCGCCGACCACATTTTATTTGGAAAAGTCACATTTGAGAGACGATCCACTATGTCATATGGGCCTTCCCATGGAGAAGACAACCTAGGAGACTTCTCTTTGGTCTTCCTGGGATTATACAACCACACCTTGTCTCCTGGTACAAAGCTGACTTCAGTAGATCTCTTATCATAAGTTAACTTCATCGAATCAGCAGACGCTTTCAAGTTTGTATGCACTTGATGGTGAATATCATCCATCCTTTCTGATAACACTTTCACAAACTCTGACACATTCTCAGGCAACTCTTCATAAGGTGGGCGTCCTGTTAACGGATCCACTGGCAACCGAAGTTCCCGACCAAACGTCAACTTTGCTGGAGTGTATCCAGTGGTTTCATGCTCTGCTGTCCTATAGGCCATCAACAGTGGAGGGAGTAAGACACCCCAGTCATCTTGACGGCTATTACAAAACTTTGCCAATTCCTGTCCTATTGTCCAGTTGTACTTTTCTACCATCCCATCAGACTGTGGGTGAAGTGGCGTTGTTCTGGTCTTTCGGATGCCAAACAACTTGCAGCATTCTTGGAACACAGCTGATTCGAAGTTATGACCTTGATCTGAATGCAGTTCATATGGCATACCAAATCTGAAGAAGAAATCACTAATATCCAAAGCTACAGTTGTAGTTTCCTGATTTGGTATTGCATATGCATCAGGGCACTTGGTGAAATAATCCATCACCACACAAACTTACCTGTTTCTAGCACGAGTTTGGGGCAAATGACCAACAATGTCAATGGCTACTCTTTCCATTGGTGTGCCAACTTGATATAACTTCATTGGAGCACGTCCCTTATACTTGGGTCCCTTTTTAGCACAACATGTACTGCATGTCCTGCACCATTCTTCCACATCTTGCCTCATACTCAATGTCTTCTTAACTCCGAGATGTCCTAGTGTTAAACTATCATGGGATTGATGCAGCACAACTTCTCATAACTTTCTCGGTATAACCGTTTGACAGGTCATCACTTTCCCATCTGAAGTTTCCCATATCTCTAGAGAAGAATACCATCTTCAAGCTTCAACTGGTTCCATTGTGCCAAATAGTTCTTTGTCACAGGGCTTAGACTAGACACCTTTTAGAAAATCAATTATTGGCTTCAAATCTTGATCTGTCTCCTGCTCTACTTTAATATCTATACCTGGTTCCACTTCACATCATCAACTATTTCAGTCACTTTGACTTCAGCTTGATGGCACCTGGTTAGTTCAGTCTCTCTTTTGACACTTACTGGAATTTGGCCTTTGTTGTTTCCAAACGTCATTTTATCAAAGTTAATTACAAACTTCCTCGGTAGGAAGTATTCCAACCCTAATATGCATAAGTCTTCAATATCGGCCAAGTATACTTTGTGTCTATCCTTCATGCCCATGAGCTCAATAGCTACCCCCACTGGTCCCCACAACCTTGTGGAACGTCCTGTCACACTACAGAGCTTCTGCATGGCTTCAGGTACTCTTTTGTGATCTAACATCTTGATGCTCACGAGGGTTTGCTGAGATGCAGAATCTATGACAAAGTTGCACCTTTTGCCATCCAGCTTTCCTGTCACATAGACACTATGTGTGCTTAGCATCTTATACCTAGCTGTTGGGACTTTCACGATGGGGGTTGGCGGGCATACCTCAACACC